CCCAAACAAACTTGGTTCAAGAGTGCTAAAGGACAATATCTACTTCTCCATCATCCTTCTGCAGTGTGTGCCAATCCATTCAACCTGAATGGCACTCGCACACCTGGACACACTATGAACGGTCGGACACACTATGAACAGGACTTCACTTCAGCACCTGAATGGACATATTGCTGACACATCACACAAGGACAATGATAACACCACTCAGCCACAACAACCTCTGCTCACTAATACAATCTCAGCAGAGCCCTGCCCACAGAGCTCACCACAGTCAGACTATGACATATCAGAACTGCTCCCAGATTCAGCACCCAAGGACGACTTTCTGGAAAACAGCGAGGGAAACCAGGACAGCATTTTACACCCTCCAATAACACCAGAGCAACAGCCCATCTCACCTGACACGTTATCCGTCTCTCCAGCATCTCCACTTCTGTGCTTCTCAGAGAAAATGGAACAACTGGTGTCTGCTGGAAACAAACTATCACACTCTTTTGCTGCAAGCCCCCAGATACCAACCAAAAAACGGCAGGCCCCAAAACCACCAAAGCATGCGGGCCCAGCTCGCCCTCCCCCTCCTCCAAGCGAGAGTTCTTCGGCCTCTGCCACAGCGCCAAGGCCCACACCCTCCCCAATCGGCTCAAGGTGAACCAAAAACAACTGATACCAGCTCTAAGTGATATACTTCAGGTCCTCGCTATGAAAACAATAACTTTATCAAATGTTTACAGAACAAGCGGGAACCCAGTGTGCCTGAATCTTTCTCTATTGCTGTTCATTTACATGATAGAAAATCTAAGGCCTTCAACAGCCGTACAGCAAACCCATCTAATCTGGTGCCTATTACACGCCAAACTAAGACTGCTGTGGGGACAAAAAGTAAGACTATAAAGTTAGCACTTTAAACATCCGCTCCATTGAAAATAAATCACTTCTAGTCAATGACTTAACCACATACAACTTGGACTTCATGTTTCTAACTGAAACTTGGCTAGAAGACAGCTGTAGTGCAACGGTCCTAAACGAAACTTCCCCTCCAAATTTTACTTATATGAGTGGGTAATAGAGGGGGGGTGGGGGGGCTTAGCTGTTCTTTTTAAAGATGTTTATCAATGTAAGCAAATATCATTTGGGAATTACCCCTCTTTCGAATATCTGGGTATTGTGTTAAAAGGTGCTCCACGTATTTTACTTATCATTGTTTACAGGCCTCCAAAATACTCTCCAACTTTTGCTGAGGACTTTACAGAACTGTTATTAACAATTGCCTCTGAGTTTGACTGTTTTACCATTACTTGAGATTTTAACATTCACATAGATGATGCAGAAAACAATATGGCAAAAGAAATCAAAACTGTTTTAAAAACTTTTGATCTGACACAGCATGGGTTAACCCTAACCCATGCTTAAATGAAAACACTGGTGTGCTATTTATGAAGGCTATATCTTTAAAACCAAGCATATCTGCCGACTCTGTTGATTTTCTCCTTGATTCTTTTAACTCAAAGGTTAAGAGTGTAATTGATGATATTGCTCCTGTAAAAGTCAGGAAGAATAGTGGCAGACAAAAAGCACCTTGGAGAAACTCAACAGCTGTGCAAAATATGAAAAGACAATGCAGAAGAGCAGAACGCATGTGGCGGAAGACAAAACTTGTAGTCCATTATAACATCTACAAAGACAGCATCCACGCTTTCAATAGGGAACTAGGCAAAGCTAGACGGACTTTCTTCTCAAATATTATAAACAGAAATATAAACAACACACGCACTCTTTTTGCTACTGTAGAAAGACTGACAAACCCCCCAAGCCAGATTGCCATAGAAATGCTCTCAGAAAGGAAATGCAGTGAGTTTGCTTCTTTCTTCTCTGAGAAAATCAATAACATCAGAAAGGTGATCAGCACATCCTTGAGTTGCTCTGGGGTCAGGCAGATCAGACCACAACCTGAGAAAGTAGTTACTATGTCTGATTTAGAAGAAATTGATGGCACAATTTTGGTAGAAACCGTGCAGCACCTTAAAACATCAAACTGCGCCCTTGACACACTTCCCACATCTTTTTTCAAAAGTGTGTTAAACTGTTTAGAAGCAGATGTCCTAGAAGTGGTAAATGCCTCATCGCTCAGGGAGTTTTCCGAACTCCCTGAAAACTGCAGTCATCAAGCCCCTTCTGAAAAAGAGCAATCTGGATAAGACCATTTTAAGTAATTATAGACTGATCTCAAATCTTCCTTTCATAGGCAAGATCATTGAAAAGGTTGTCTTCAATCAGCTGAACAAATTTTTAAGCTCAAATGGATATTTTGACAATTTTCAATCTGGTTTCCGATCACATCACAGCACGAAGACAGCGCTCATAAAGATAATAAACAATATTCGCTTAAATACTGATACAGGCAAATTATCCGTGTTGGTACTACTCGACCTCAGTGCTGCATTTGACACTGTCGATCACAAAATACTTCTTGACAGGCTGGAAAATTGGGTGGGGCTTTCTGGGATAGTCCTAAAATGGTTCAGGTCATACTTAGAAGGCAGAAGTTATTTTGTGAGTATGGGAGAACAGAAGTCTGAGTGGACATCCATGAACTACGGAGTCCCTCTGGGCTCGATTCTTGCGCCACTCTTATTCAACCTGTATATGCTCAATGAGCCAAATAATGAAAAAGAACCAAATCGCTTACCACAGCTACGCAGACGACACACAGCTCTACTTAGCCCTATCGCCAAACGACTATAGCCCCATTGACTCCCTGTGCCAATGCATTGATGAAGTAAATGGTTGGATGTGTCAAAACTTTCTGCAGTTAAACAAAGACAAAACTGAAGTCGTTGCGTTTGGAAACAAAGATGAAGTTCTCAAGGTGAATGCATACCTTGATGCTAGGGGTCTAACAACTAAAAATCAAGTCAGGAATCTTGGTGTGTCTCTAGAGTCAGACCTTAGTTTAAATAGTCATGTCAAAGCAATAACTAAATCAGCATACTATCATCTGAAAAATATTTCAAGAATTAGATGCTTCGTTTCCAGTCAAGACTTAGAGAAACTTGTGCATGCTTTCATCACCAGCAGGGTGGATTACTGTAATGGCCTCCTCACTGGCCTTCCTAAAAAAGGCTGCCTTCCTGGCTGCTGCCAGGATTCTGAGCAGGACCAGAAATAATATGAACATATCACACCAGTCCTCAGGTCTTTACACTGGCTGCCAGTTACATTTAGGATTGATTTTAAAGTATTATTACTGGTATATAAATCATTTAATGGGTTAGGACCTCAATATATTGCAGATATGCTAACTGAATATAAACCCAACAGATCGCTCAGATCATTAGGATTAGAGCCCTGCACGGGCCTCAAATCTAGGCCCTAGCCCGGCCCTGGCCCGAGACGTCCAGGCCCTAGCCCGGCCCGTGTCCGACAGCTCATCAGAATGATCAGCCCGAGTCCGACCCAAGCCCGTTATTAAAAAAAAAAAAAAAAAAAAAAAAACACCTACACAGCCTGCCCTGTTGCAGCAGTCATTTAAACAGATATGTTTTGTCCTCAATGGCAAAGTAGTTACCGTTTAGATTATTTTCATTTCTTTATAAAGTTAATTAAGACAAATGTTTCTTTTTATTTATTTTTTTATGACGACCAAGCACCCGACAGCGAGTTAAACATGTTTGATCCATTCATAGCCTCTCAAATCAACACTTTACTTGGCTACAATAAAATCCATAGATATAAAACAACTTAAACATATTCACACAGACAGTTAACGTTAGTTTAAACGTTTGTTAAACGTTTATTGTCATTTTTGAAAAGCTGAGGCAAACTGCTCCGCTGCTCGCAACAGCGCTCGCACAATACAATTTACAATACAATACAATACAGAGAATGCAATCTAAACAAATCAAATAAATTAGGCCCTACATTAAAAACAAACATGCAGGTTATCTTACCTCAAAAATCAAGTCTTCACTACAGAACATGGCCATTCGTATTTCCAAAAGTTTCCAACAGACTCATGAAACTAAAGTCCAATCAAACAAAAAACAACAAGACAACCTCCTAAACAGTCTCTTACAGAGCATCGTGCAGAAAAAGCACCATCCACCGTGGACAGTTTTAATCCAGTCGTACCTTTTCCAGCTGCGCTGAAGTCACGCTCACTACTTCTGCTGCTGGCGGGACACTTAACAGAGAACGAGCCGGTCGCGCGGATCGCGTTGCCGGGAAACCTGTGTGCGCGTGTCCGTGCCGTGAGCAGACTGTCAGTCATATATGTCAGTATGATAGGTTATAAAACGTCTTTCTATGTTTGCTTTTCAATAGTCATCTTCTCATATTTTATTTTAAGTAATATCTAAAATAGGCTATAAAAAAGATAAGCCTAAAACAGGCCCGAGGCCTGGCCCGCGTGTGAACTATGACGTTAAAATTGGCCCGAAGCCCGGCCCGAGGAGTGTAAATAAGTCGGGGCCCGTCGGGCTCGGGCTGAAATGCAGGCCTCTAATTAGGATCACATCAGCTAGAAATACCAAGGGTTCACTCTAAGCATGGAGAGTCTGCTTTTAGCTATTATGCCAGCCGCAGCTGGAACCAGCTTCCAGAAGAGATCAGGTGTGCTCCTACAGTAGTCGCATTCAAATCCAGACTCAAAACACATCTGTATAGCTGTGCATTTACTGAATGAGCACTGTGCCACTGTTCGTTCGACTGTATCTGTACTTCATTTTATTCAAAATGGTTTTAATTTACTGTATTTTATTTTTATCATAATTTTTATTTTTCATAATTTCTTATTTTTTTATTCTGAACTGTTTTAATTATTCTGATTTCTTTTGATTATTTTAATTTCTTCCATGTAAAGCACTTTGAATTGCCATTGTGTATGAAATGTGCTATATAAATAAACTTGCCTTGCCTTGCCTTATTGATAAAAGATTTGAATTACCAGACTAACTCGCATCTATAATATTATTTATATTTCTGATTTTTCAATTCTATAGGATACACCTGAACAGCTACAGTGGAACAGCAGGTAAAACCAGTAGCATGGGACAGCCAGGAAGTGATTTCAGCTCAAAAGATGTAGACAATGACAAATGTATTTGCAAATGCTCACAAATGCTCTCAGGAGGTAAGAGCAATTTACTTTCAAATACCATTTTACGGTGTGTATCTTAATTGTCTTATTCTAATGGATTTAGAGCGCTCATTTGCCACAGTTCCTGGATTTAAAAAAGTAAAAGTACCATCGCAAAAATGAAAAGTGAGAGAGGAGATACTCATTTAATCATTTTGAAACATCTTCTCAATGCAGAGTGAATTTACTGCATAAAAAGGGCTTGTTAAAGGTCCCCGGACATGGGGTTATTTTATTATTTTATAATGTTTCCTGGGTTGCCCTTATTATGTTAGTATGTTTTTTTAGATCAAAAGTAATAATTTAGAAATAAAAGGCATTTTTCCTAGCCTGATTTTAGCCTCTGCTTTGAATGCTCTATTTGAAGGGGCATGTCCGCTGTGGGATTCAGTGTAACCGCCCACCGCTGTGATTGGCTGACATGCTAGCATATGAAATAGCAACATATTACATGTGAAACTCTCTTGAATACTTTTACTACAGCTATTATACATTTTTACTATTACAGCTATTGAGATTACTGAATCATGAGAAGTTTTTGAAGTATTTAGATTCCAATCACATAAAATGTTCCTGTGATGAGCATTGAGCATTGACAGTCTGTTAATCGCGAGAATGAAGATCTTATTTCAACGCAGTTTCTGCACTTTCTCTAATGCTTTCACCAATGCAAACATGATGATGTACATACAGTAAGAGTTTCGTTGTGCAGTGTAAAGTGCATCATTGATTTCGTAACGAGATGTCCAGATAAACTCGCGCTGTGTGGAAAGATTGTTCTTTGATCGCTTTCTGTATAATTTGTTCACAATTCAAATAAGATTATTTTTATCCTACTAAAAGAAACAATGTGAAGCTGATCATTTTAGTCACTGGCTTAACTTACTGATGCATAAACAGTATCAAACGATTTTGGGAGAAAGATTAGCTTACCTGTCTGAACTTGAACAATTAGGCTGCAAATCAGAAATTGTTACTTGGTAGCTTGATCGATTTATTTTCAGTCGTCGGTGAAATGTTTGGACCATACAAAACTTGGGAGATGAGTCGGCGCATTTCCAGAGAAAATAAAATTAACCCATTGTTTCTTCAGAGGCTCGAATGAAGGAACTAAAAAATACTTTTGTGTTCATTTGTACATCCAAACACTGAGCAACTGCCATGCTTTGCTCGTTTGCAAGCCATGATATCTCTCGAGGAAACAGTCAAATCTAAAAGCTGTTACTCTAGGAAAAACTAAAATTGCGCCTGCGTTTTCATACTTCCTGTTCCTAGCTCTTTTTCTCAAGTTCTCCGGGCGGGCAAAGCAGAGAAAGGGAGAGGTAATCTTTCCCCGTATGACATCATACAGGGGAGATTCAAGATCGGTGGGTCTGAGCTGCAGAGAAGAGAAAAATAGCCAAAGTTCGGTTTACACAGATTGAAAATTCTAGACATGAGGGGACCAAATACAGGCTAGGGGAACTCATATTAATGTTAAAAAACCTCTAAAAATGAAATTTTTATGTCAGAGGACCTTTAAACATACATACACAGAGAGATTTAGTTTAAAGAATAAAACAAAACGCAATGAGGCAGGGGTAAAAAACATCTCTCTAGTCAGTGAATGCAACAACAATGAAAAAGCACATTCAGATGTGATGCAGAAGCCAGAATCGTATTCCAGACAGAATTCGATATGGGGTTAGAATTGTTCCATTAATCCAAATAGATAGGCTGAGATCCACAAATTAATATAAATATTTTCACAAAATTAATACAATTAAAAAAAAAAAATAATAATAATTAAAATGAAATAAATAAATATAAAAAAAAATATGATAAAAAAATATTTACAAATGTGTTGCGTCACAAACACAACTGCCTGACATTCCTTTGTGAATCATTTCCTGTGCATTAGTAGATCCCTGCAAGCATTTGTGGATTTTGAAACATTTTCTAGCATCAAGATGTGCAGACACTCCACCCACTGTCTACTTAAGCCAATCAGATAATAGCTATTTGCGCTGACCTGCACTGATAGCATGCTCTCGCTTCAACCAATCACTTTTTTTATAAATGGCAAAGTCAGCCATAATAGAGGAAATAGCATTGATGCATTCAAAAACAAAATTGTTCATTTGTAATACCTGTAGTAATATTTGGGAGCCTGGTGTATGTTAAAAGCCAACATTTTGTGTTGTCACAATATACTTGTGTTTTTAAATATTAAAGTATATATTTTTGTTGTATAATTTAGGTTGGTGGTTTGATGCCTGTGGACCATCAAATCTCAATGGCGTATACTACCAGCAAGGACAGAACACTAATCGTTTCAATGGCATCAAATGGTACTACTGGAAAGGTTCAGCATATTCACTAAAGGCCACGACTATGATGATACGACCGTCAAAATTCTAAGCTTCTAGTTCTAAGGCACAATAGCCGCTTTTCCACTGTCGGGCCAGTACGAACTGGGGCAACAGGCTGTGCTGGGATAATAGCCTTGAAAAAAAAAAAAAAAAAAACAACAACCTGAGGAGCACTGTCAGTGACAATCCCAATAGTTATATTTTCAGTCAGAGAAGGAGAAGCCCCGACGAGGCACAATCAAGCCCAGGAAGTGACAGTGGAAACGCGACTGGCTGCAATAGCACTCTGCTTTTGGCTCGACATTAGAAAAACGGCTAATGACTACTGATGTCACTGCTTTCATATCCTATAGAGAAACATTGAGGTGTCACTGCTTTCATATCCTATAGAGAAACATTTGTTGAGAGGTGTGACCTTCATGCACTTCTGATACAGGACTTCTATTTAAAAGATAAAGCACTTGAAAAACAAAACAAAACAATTTTTTTTACAGTGTCAAATTGCTAATTCATTGAATATGAAATCCTGACATACAACATATTAATGGAACTTCGTCAAGGGAAAAGTTTTGTTCAAATGGATGTGTTAATATGTATTGTTAATTGAAGAACAGGTGTAAAGGGGATATACACCTGTACATTGATGCTTCACAGGATTTCCTTAATTCTTCATGTAGATACGTGGAATCAGAACTACTTTCTTAGTATGCTTATTTTATTTGTAAATACCAAATTATTTACAAATATTTAATTATATTATTGATAAATTGTCAAATGTAACCATGGTACAAGAGTGAGTTAAATGCATAAAGCTGCGGAGGTTCTTTAGACATGTTACAAATTGTTAATCTTTAAAACTATTGTTTACACATGGTTTAGTGCTTTGGACCTTCTTGTAGATATCTTAACTGTGGACATGTGTTGACTGTTGACCAAACTCTGCAGGAATTCTTAAAGGGTCCCTTCTTTGCAAAATGCAAAATTCACTTTTACATGGTTTTTTGAAAAAAAAAAAAAAATAAATTGTTTGGTTGGTTGTCCACAGTGTGGATAACCAACCTATAAATGGAAAAAAAATTCCACCCACTCTTTTTTGTATTCCCTAAAAATAAAATTAAAAATTGTCTCAAAATGATTTGTTCATGTTTTCTACCCATTGTGACATCACAATGGAACAGGCCCCTCCCATGACTGGTGACGGACTTATTCCTATTAGCATAGGTCCTCACCTGAGTGAGCTGCACACTCACTACACTTGAACTTGACGCACAACGTAATGATGGCAATTGACGCCTTTTGCGGTTCAAATAAACAGTGCTGGGCAACCGCGTTCATCATTACGGTGTGCGTCAAGGTTTACTCTTTTGGCGTAAATCGATATGTACGGCCGCCTGCCGGTAGCTAGTTATTTTAGTCGATAAAGTTTTAAATATGGATATTTTTCTAACACGAACGCATCGCTTCACTTCAAAAGGCCTTAATTAACCCCCAGAATTTAATTAACCCCTGGAATGTGTGTGGAACACTTTAATCATGAATAGATGCACTTTAATGGACTTCCAAAGACATACACCCATTCACTCCCATTATAACGCTTGGAAGAGCCAGGACATTTTTGAATAGAAATCCGAAATGTGTTCGTCTGAAAGAATGTCATATACACCTAGGATGCCTTCAGGGTGGATAAGTATATTTTAAGTTTATTTTCTTCACAATTAAAGGGATAGTTCATCCAAAAATGAAAATTAGCCCATGATTTATGTACATACACAAAATAAAACATTGCGCTTTTCTAAGTGTGTAAAGTGGAAAACTATAATGTATGGCTAAATACCACAAGAAGTGCTTGGGAGTACTTCGACTCAACGCAGTAATATCATCACTCATGAAAAATCCTCTTACACGTGTCCTTGCTTGATGAACATATTCAGTTTTGATGAGAAAGAAAAAAACCTAGAACCTGTAACCTCTGACACGCTTGGCAAAAGATCTACCACTAGACCATTAATGAACTCAAACAAAACTTGCGGATTGATGCCTTTATTTACGGGTTGAGCAGAGAGGCTCATTCTCTTTTCCTTTTCATAGTCTCTTCTGACCGCGTTTTCTTAGCTTTTTCCATCGTTGAGTATCACGTCTGAAATGTGTGCAAATGTCTTTATGTTTCATGTTGTGGTTTATGTGTGTGACGTCATTGGTGTAAAGCATGTCGTGATTCTCTTAAGATTTGTTGGGGCGCTCCTCTCAAACTTGCATTGCTGGTTTTTCCAGAGTGCTTTACTACCAGGATGATTCACCCTACTATGAGTTTGTTTACCACCGAAATGACAGTGAAGCTGCTATATTAAGGTACAATTCTTGCATAGTGTGCCTTAAAGTGCTATCAGTGTCTCACGTGCCATATCGATTAAGTGCAAGCACTGAGACGAGAGAGGTATGTATCAACTAGTCTTAGTTAAAGGCAGGGTAGAAATTTTCTAAAAAAAACTTTTTCCCAAATTTGTTTAAACTGTCTATGTATACTAATACATAATTAAAATGCAAGTACTCTGAAAAAGAAAAAAGTATACAAATCGAGTGTCTGTAGTCCTCTCAGTGCTGCAAAAACACAGCTCATTATTTACAACCGAGATGAAAGAAATGATTGGCTGGGCGACTGTCACTCTGTCACAGCAGCCCACATGCGCGCACACGTTTCCTCGTGGAGTGGAAGAGATAGGAAGCTAGGAAGAATCACAATTATGGCAGAGAAAGAGCAGTCAAAATTTCCAGTTACCTGCATATACAATCAGCGAAGGAAAACCAGGCAAAAAATGAAGAAAGTATTTGAAAAGGCTATGACCAAAAAGTCTTTGGATAAAGCAAGAAGTCAGACGAGAGTCAATATCGGCGGGGCTTTCCAACCGTGGCGACAACTGACAACCAGGGGGTGAAAAGTGACGCCAACGGTGCTTTCGTGGAAGCTCTTACATGTAAAACACCGAATATGTTATGAATCTTACACGAAATTCACCTTCATCACAGTGTAACTGATGGTAATGGGAAAACGTGCATCAATGCAACCTGTTTTTAGTTTTTATGTTACTAGCTCGTTACTAAATCAAACTCAATATTTTTTAAACTTTAGCATTACCAGTATCGATATGCTAGCTTGATAGCAAGTACTACCGGCCATGTTAGTTGTTTATATTAATAATGATAAGTTAGGCATTTTATTACATGAGATTCTGACATGATGTCACTACATGCACTGCTCCTCTCCGCAGTGCTGGTAAACACGTCCTCCAGCTGAGTGTGGTCTGCAGCGCATGTTCATGTATTTTGTGGGCGTGGCTTTGTAAGGATCCTAGACGGGAGGGGGTGGGAGTGAATGAAATAAAGAGCTGTGTTTATTGCAGCACTGAGAGGACTACAGACACTCAATTTAGAGTACTTACATTTTAATTATGTATTGGTATATGTAGATAGTTTAAACAAATGTGGGAAAAAGTTTTTTTTTTTTTTAAATTTCTACCTACCCCCACATTTAAGGGAATAACAGTGTAATATGAAAAAACGTGGAGTATCTATTTAAATTCGCTTGTGTCAGTAACATCTGTTAAAGTTAACACAATGATTTGTTACAACTTTTTATATACAGTACATTTATGTAATAATTACAAAGCATGTCCATTTTTCATAACAAACAGCAGCTCTGGAAAAAAAAATTGGGTTCGCTATCCCGTTTATCCCGCTAGTTTTTAAAACATGGTATTAAGGATCCCAAGACCTCTGTGGAATTTAATAAGTTTGACATTATTCATGGCAACAAAGTGTGTGAAGTGTCTACATGATTGGGAAGTCCATTTCATTTTGCTTTGGAGAAAAAAGTAGCCGGCCTTGTAAAACGAAGAAAATCATCAGACCAAGCAAAACATCTGACTTAACCCCTAGAGGTCGGCAAACACGGTGACTCGTTTTGGCAGATTTTTTTCACATAGCAGAAAAATAGACTTGAAGTACTCCATCTCCGGTCATACAGAGTTAAGAAATATGTAAAACATAAACTGTTAAATGTCTACTTTTTTATGTGCCCACCTACAATCGAAATAAAATATTGTGCTTTTGTAAAATAAAGAAAATAAACGTGCGTTCTGCCACTTCGTCTCTGTGAACTTTTTTCTAGTGCACGTCTCTAAACTTAAACAAAACTCAGCAAATACTATTCACTCAGGCATGAACAGTATACGTTTATAATCATTTGAATTTATACTAAAACTGAAATATTCTCTGTTTATGTAATCTATAAAAAAAGATAAAGATGTCAGCTGTGCTCATTATCGTTCTCACAGCTCATTATTTTCCTAATGTGACACGCCCACGGAGAGTGCGCTCAATTCAAAAGCAAATTATCTGAAGCAACACATTGAGACTGTAAATGCCCTCACAAATTCGTTAAACATTAACACACACAATATTTAGTCAGACACTCAGATTAATGTACTGCGGAGTTTTCGGAGGCTGCGAGGAATAATCCATGGGACATTTACCTCAGAACAAGCGCTGGTTTACATTCACTTTGAGGAGCGAGGTACTGAGAATTGCTTTATTGTTTTAAGTGTTTTATGTGCTTTGTTCTAATCGCGATCAATGTTCTCTCTAAGCTGCACTTCTGAAGCCACACCACGCTGAAAATAATAAAATTCCACATAGAGGACTGAGGTAAAAACAATATAAATACTGTTTGTTTTCTCACACAAACCGCTCGTTTCATGTCTTAGGTCATCAATGTGTACTTACATTTACGAGTCATTCCATCATGTTTAATTTGGACTTCTCTGAGCATGCTCTTTGACGTAAACAGAGGGAGGACCCCCTAAACCTCCATTATATGACTGATAGACAACGGTTTGAGCGAAAAATATCAAAATTTAAAATACTGTGGAAACAAAGACACCAACAGCTTGGATGCCCTTGAGATAAGCTAAAACATATAAAAAATTAATTTCAAAGTGAACTATCCCTTTAAAAAGTTTGGAACCTCCTGCTAAAGAAAATATTGGAAATTCATAAGGAATAAACAATCATTTAACTTTGATGGTTTAAATATGAATCGGGTGTCTGAACGAATGAACACACAGATGCATAGCCTACTGTTACAGATAAAATAGATAAAATATATATCAAATAAGCTTTAGTTAGACAGTTTCTGCTCGTATGTTAAATATATAGTATGTTTTATACAAAATAAACTAATCAACTCTTATCCAATGCAAGCTAATGCAATGCACATATCAAAATAACGAATCCTTAACTTTGAAATATGTATGATAAAATGTATTTGCCTACTTTAAAAATAATACTTTATATGGAAAAAGAATTTTCTTTTCAAGATGTTTCCAACTCTAACTTTGAACCAATTCTACACCATAGCCCATATTTGACCAGGATATATATATATATATATATATATATATATATACTGTATATATATATATATATATATATAGTCATGCCCAAAATTAATCATACCCCTGGTAAAAATGATAAAAAAATGGCTGTAAAAAATAAATATGCATGGTTTATCCTTTTGATCTTTCATTCAAAAAACTGCCAAAAATCTAACCTTCCAGTGAAGTAAAAGAATTGAAAATGGGAGAGAAATCACATTATAAAATAAATGTTTTTTCTCCAAAACACGTTGGCCACAATTATTCATATCCCTAGAATCTTTTATGAATAAAATCTATGCAGTATATTCCCATTAATATTTACTAGGGCTGTAACGATACACCAAACCCACGATTCGGTTCGTATCACGATTTTTGATCCACGATTCGATTCGTATCGCGATTCTATCACGGGGGCGGGGCTTGGGGTGAAAAAATAGATTTTGGGAGGAAAACATATACCGGTATTTTTATTAAATAACATTTGGAAAACCGTGTAGAATCTGAACACCAAAAAACAATAATAACTATGTAAATTATTAAACTAAACTAGGCAGTGTAGGCTGCTGCTTTTGGGTTGTTTTCTGTGCCTACAGGATTCACACAGCCAGTGAATGAAAGAGATCAGCAGAGCGCGTGCGATTACCTTCGTCTGTCTTTGAAGTCGTGAAAAGGTTGCCGTGGCCCGTGTATCATCATTTTAACGTTCACGTCACATGTATTTCCAATAAATGTGCGTCAACAAGAGCGCTGGTCAGCATCCCACAGCGCGTGGAAACCGCGGTGAAATAAAATCACCGAGTCACGCATTGAATCAATGCCATATTGGTCTCTCAGCTGTGGCGGGCGCGGGTGCTGCGCTCTCGGCGGCTGGCGCGGGTTCGGCGCTCTCGGCGGCTGTAGACACGGGACAAGACAACATGCCAGATCTGGCTGGAACCTCCAGAATCTTGGCTAGACTTGACAGGTACTTGGACAAAGTTCTTGCCGCAACGGCAATA